GCAGTGCGAAGAATCAAGGTTGAGAATCACGAGACATGTGTAGAAAATGAGTAGCAAAATGAAAGGTTAGAGGACATTGTAAAGCATGCAAGCAATTCGAACAAACTTACTATTAGGAAAATGGAGTCCATCTATTCACATGATCTTGTTGATATGGGTCACGTCGGACGAGTAATTTATTGGTCACATGAAAATGAACGAATTGATGGTACTATAAAAGGGTATGACATAGAACCTGGTGTTGTAATGCGTCTAACAAAGGAAAATTGTAATGAATTGAACTTCGGGAATACTATTTCCATTGAAGAGAAAAAGTGGGTCAAAGAACAATTAATGAACAAAACCCCGAGTGTGTTTGCATTCAACATCTCTGAAATAGGAAAGACCGATTTGATCTGATATAAAGTTAGGACTGGGGATAAAGAAATTCTGCCAATACGTGTACGGCCAATACGAATAAATAACCCAGAACATGCTAGTATGTTCGAATACCAACTAAGTGATATGCTGAAATATGGCCTATTGGAAAAGAGCATGGGCCAGTACGCCTATCATTGTTTCCCTGTTAAGAAAAAGGAAGGTGGAACTGATAAATTAAGAGTGGTTGGAGATATGAGGCCATTAAACAAATATGTAATAAAAGATGGGTATCCTTTACCTATCATACATGACATCTTGGAAAAAGCAGTAGATCACGATTGGTACTCTTGTGTGGATGCCCATAAAGGTTATTGGCAAATACGTATCTGTAATGAGGATAGAGACAAAGTAGCTGTTGCTACCCCTCTTGGTGTATTGTGCTATACTGTTATGTGCATGGGTCTCAAAAACGCTAGTGAAACATTCTAGTGTTTAATGGATAGGTTACTTGAAGGAGATAAATGGAGATATATTGCTGCGGCATATCAGGATGATATTGGTCTTTGGACCCAGGGGTTAATTGAGGAACAAGTTGACAAATTTGTCAAGCTTGCACAAATATTTAGTAATGCCGGTCTCACCTTTGCCGCCAAAAAGTGCTACCTACTCTATAAAGAGTTGAACATGTATGGCTTTATCGTTGAAAAGGAAGATATAAGACCCGATCCAGCTTGTATTAACAAAATCAGTAAATAGAAAGCTCCTGAAAACATCCAAGATGTTCGTATATTCCTGGGTACCATGAATTATTACTGACGGTTTGTGAAGAATTTTAGTGCAATCGCCAAACCATTGATTGAGTTAACAAAAAAGGATGTTAAATTTAAATAGGACAATGAACAAGCTAAAGCATTTTACCTGCTAAAGCATAAAATGATAAATAATGTAATGTTAAAGGACCGAACTGGCAAGCTGCTAAAAATGGAAGTCAACCTTATCAAATGAGCACTGACGCCAGTAATACAGCATTGGGTGTTGTCCTAGAACAATTGGATGACCAGCACATGCTACGTCCTATAACGTTTGAATCCCCAAAGCTAAACACACATGAGGTAAACTATACAATAACCGAAAGAGAATGTTTAGGTTTAGTTTTTGGCTATAATATGTGTGAGAGGTATGTGGCTAGAACGATATTCGATGTATGGGTTGATCACTAAGCTGTGGAATAGCTTTTTAACAAGGCTCAGTTGAAGGGACAATTAATGTGTTGGGTAATTGCTTTACAAGCTTTCAATTTTAGGGTATATTACAAGTCTGGTAAAAAGCATGGTCATGCTGATGGATTGTCACGACATCCCGATCCTGGGACACCTGAAAACTACTTTCGGATAAAGAGTATGTTGACTTATTATTGTTAAGTGTAGTAGAAGCCGATCAATGTACGAAGGATTTAGAGATAGTCAAGTTCTATCTAGAAAACATGTGTTGGCCACGTGATGTATTAAAAGAGGATTTGCCCTGGCTTCAAAATAAAATCCGAAAGTTCTGCTTAATAAACGGACAATTGTTTAGAAGATCGGTTGATAGTAAACCTCCACGTAGAGTTATATCAAACGATAACGAAAAGGTTGAGATAATGAAGGCGAATCATGAAGGACTTGCAGGAGAAGGTGGACACCGTGGAATAAAAGGAACAATCAGAAAAATCCTATTAAACTATGTATAGGGAAATAGCAGTGTGTATAAGGATGTAAAAAGCAATGTATCAGCTTGTTTAACATGCCAAATGTGTATTGGTAAACAACTCAAGGAACCTATTCACGTGATGCCACTAGTTGGGTTTTTCACAAGCTCTATATCGATTGTATTGGTCCCTTACCTAGAACGTTCGCGGGTCACGAGCATATAGTGGTTGCTGTTGAAGACTTAACTGGATACATAGAAGCACATGCATTGAGAAACAAAAATGCAAAGTCAATTGCTACGTTCTTGTGGGAAGAATAATTACCAGACATAGTTGTTTTGCCGAATTAACTTCGAATAGAGGGACCGAATTTAAAAATAATATAATAGCAGAGTTAACAGCATGATTACAAGTAAACCAGAATTTTACCCCAGTTACTATCCGGAAGCAAATGGTAGAGCTGAACATACAGTGCAAAAACTGACCCGGATAATTAGAAAGGTTAGTGCTGAAGCACAAAACCGATGGCATGAACATTTACATGCTGCTGTGTGGGCCCTTAATATAACCGTAAGTGAAGTCGGCTACTCACCTTTTAGATTAGTGTATGGTCATGATACTATAATGCCAGTGGAATTGATGCTTGAAAGTTACCAGGTCTTTATGACCAAGCAAGACTGGGCTACTGATAAGTTGTTGACTTTTAAAACACTACAAATAAAAGGGCTAGTTAATGAACTAAAAGAAGTGAAGGTGAACCAGGATGAGCTCCATGAACAATAGATGAAATTTCACGATCAATATGCAAACAAAGGCAAAGAAAAGATCAATGTTGGTGATTTGGTGCTGGTGTATGATTCGACACTTGATAATTTGCCTCGCAAGTTGGATTATAGATGGGTTGGT